ACTGCCCAGGCCTTCTAACTAACACCCATATTCAGAAGGCTTGGTTCAGTCCAATGCTAGTACCCAGTTGTATGACTGGGTTCTGTGTGCTCCCACTTGCTTAGGGCAGCTGTTTCTGTGGGTTTCTATTATGCTCATCCCTCCTCTGTCTCTACTACTGGATTCCAGGAGATTGACTCAGTGCTTAGTTGTAATATCTGCTTCTGCTTACATCAGCTACTGGATGAAGGCTCTAGGATGGCATATAAATTAGTCATTCATCTCATTATTGGGGAAGGACATTTAAGGTAGCCTATTCACTATTGCATAGATTCTTTGTTGGAGTCATCCTTGCGAATCTCTGGATATTTCCCTAGTGCCAGATTTCTCTTTAAACCTATAATGTCTCCCTCTATTAAGGTATCTCTTTTCTTGATCTCCTCTTTACTTCCCATGACTTGCTCCTGCTGATCCCTCATGTTCTACTCAACCCCTCCCCTTCTCCTCTTCTTTTTCTGCAACCCCCCCACCGTGCTGCCAATTTTCAGGAGCTCTTGTCACTTTGCCCGCCTTGAGGGGGTCCATGTATGTCTCTCTTAGCGTCCTCCTTGTTCCCTAGCTTCTCTGGAGGTGTGGATTGTAGGTTTATAATCCTTTGCTCTATGTCTAATATCCATATATCAGTGAGTATATACCATGCTTGTCTTTCTGTGACATGGTTACCTCACTCAGGATGGTTTCTTCTAGTTCCATCCATTTGCCTGCAAAATTCAAGATTTCATTGTTTTTTTCTTCTAATATCTCATTTGTCCAGTAGTCTTAAGATTCCTTAGTTGGATGCCTTCATTCTTCTGAAAAGGCAAACAAACAAACAAAGATCACTGCTGTAACACACACACACACACACACACACACACACACACACACACACACACACACACAAATGACCCAGAGACATTGGGGTTCAAACTTTAAGCTGAAGGTTAGAAAAGCAAAGCAGTGGTCCACTAGCTCTTAACACTACCTTAGGGTGAATGAGCTGATACTGTTTCCTCTCCTCCATGTGGCTGTAGAATCCTGAGACTGAATGTCTTCCTATCCTCAATGTGGCAGGAGAGTGAATACCTGATATTGAGACCTTGCTCCTGTCTTATATACCTCCCTAATGCTGGGATTAATGTATTGTGATCCCATGTGCTGAGATGATCTTTGTGTGGGCTGTTCCTCTTTAGGAATGAATTAATCTAGAGTAGATCTGAGTAGCCTTGGACTCACAGAGATCCATGTACCTCTTAATCCTGAGCCCTAGGATTAAAGGTGTTTATCACCACCTCCTAGCATCTGGCTGCTGGGATTAAGGTACAAGACTGCTTTCTATGGCCCGTGTCTGACTTTGCTTTCTGAATTCTCAGACAAGCTTTAATAGATCATAGATAATGTATTACCACACACTGCCCAAACACTATCTCCAGGGAGTCCCCTTTTTTGTCAAGTTATATCTGAACAAAGATATAAACTAGTTTATATTGAATGTTTTATGAACTATCATCTCCTAATCAAGAGGTCTCTCCTGTTTGAATCTAATCTTTTTTAATCTTAATGGTATCCTTAGCTTTTTTTTCTCCTCTGGAAACAAACAACCAAAATTATTCTTCCCCAATGTAACACATATCCTGATTTATATTCTCAGGTCAACACATCTTTAAAGTATACAGTCTGATTTAATTCAGCAGATTTTAGTACTATACAATGTCTCTCTGAAGTTATTATCCTTTGTTATTATTATTTAAAAAATTAAAGTTACAAAAGCACTGTGTAATCTATCTCCAGGGGTCTTTATTACCCATTTATGTTCATTAAGAATATCTTTGAAAGTATGATTAGACCATTCTATAACTGCTTGAACTGTAGGATTATGTGGTATACCTGTAATATGCTTTATGCTATAATATGCAAAATTATTTAATTTTTATTAAAGACATATGCTGGAGCATTGACAGTCTTAATTTGTACAGGTATTCACATGATGGTCATAAGTTCTAATGAATGTTTGTAATTACATGATCAACCTTTTCCGAACTTAGAGCAATTGCCCATTGAAATCTTGAATACGTATCTATGATATGGGACATATAATTAAATGGATGAGACACATCCATTTGTGAATTTTTATTTTTGGGGGTACCCTTTGGATTACATCATGCAGCTAATGGAGTTTGGTTATACAGAGAACAAGTAGGATATTTCCTTGACTTATTGCCAAGTTACAGAAAAATCTTTCTTACAACTTTGCTATTAGCATTGTGTTTCTTATGAAAACTTGAGGCTTCTAGCACATTTATTACTAATAGCTGATCAATTTCATCCTAATTTGTGCTAAAGGTTCTGGTAGACCTATATGGAATCTGCTATGTACTACATACAAGGGGTGATTTCTATTTCTGATTACTTGTAGTTGACAAACTTAATTCTGAATCGTTTGGAATAAGTTTAGCTTAAGTTTATTGAAACTCTTCCTGCATAATGAGAGTTGGGAAGTGTATTGAGAGGTTCTGGAAAATCTAATAATACCACAGGAATAGCACACAATTTTCCTTTTAGTTGTAATCATAAGGGCTTTGAACCACTTTACTTGTTTTTCCTGACTTACAACCTTATAGCATTTCCTGAATTATTTGCATCAGTATAAAATGTAGGGGCTCTAGAAATTGGGTTTCCTCATACCATATGAAGGAGTATCCAATTTTTTAATAAATTGAAATATTTTTCTTTTGTGATATTTGCTGCTAATCTTTCCACCCAAAATATTGCAAACTCTTTGTAAAAGTTTATTTTCGGGTGCAGGTAGGCCTGGGTCTCCTGTGATTATTCCTCCAGATGTAGATGAGCCCAAGAGTCAAATGTTATCTCCTCTCAGTGCAGGCAGGACCAAGACTCTAGTGGTCACTCCTCCAGGTTCAAATGGTGCAGCATCTCTGGTGATCCCTCCTCTATGTGCAGACAGGACTGAGGCTGAGGCTCTGGTGTTTGGATAGTTTACAGTGGTTGTTGCTGTCTCTTAGGCCTGCCTTGGCACTGAAGCTCTCTGCCAGCATGCCCAGAAGCTCTTCTTAAGATAGCTTCTGGAAACCACTCCTGCTCATGCTTCCAGGCCTCTGCCCGAGCCTCTCTCTCTCTCCCTCTCTCTCTCTCTCTCTCTCTCTCTCTCTCTCTCTCTCTCTCTCTCTCTCTCTCTCTCTCTCTCTCTCTCTCTCTCTCTCTCTCATTCTCTCTCTCTCTATATGTATGTATGTATGTATGTATGTATGTATGTGTATTCTCCCCAGCTTCTCACATTCTGATAACTCTTATCACCACTTTCTTTCCATCTCTTCAACTCCTATACTTCCTGCAAGTCCCTTTCCAAGGATCATGCCATTTTGCCTGATTTTTGTGACCAACTGAGTTCAACCACAGTCATCTGGATGTCACTGGGTAGGAGTCATCCTTAATGAAACTATTTCAAAATTTTGAAGATTTCAGAAATCAGAAACAGCACAACTGCCACCTATGATCCAGAAGTATCTCTGGATGATAAGGAAGCACCTTCTTTGGAGTTGCTTCAGGAGGAGAGACGAAATTCAGCAGATGCTGCTACCTCTAGGAGGGGTGATATGGGACATGATATATTTTTGGAGGCAACGTAGAGCTAATGAGACGGGGTAATAGACATAGTTACCTTCCAGCAGCATGAAATCAGTTTTCTGGTTGCAGCTTCAAGGAGAAGCAATGGAAAATTAATTGTGTAAGGGGAATAAAGGGAATATATTTTTTGTAAGTCTCCTTTTCTATACCTATTCAGACTTCTTTTGAGTATATATACTCCTTTTTTTTTGTTTTTTTGTTTTTCGAGATAGGGTTTCTATATACTGCTTTGGAGGCTGCACTGGAACTTGCTCTGTAGACCAGGCTGGCCTCAAACTCAGAGATCTGCCTTCCTCGGCCTCCTGAGTGATGGGATTAAAGATGTGTGACACTAATGCCCAGTTTATATACTCCTTTTTAAATATCAGGGATCCATGACATTATTTAGAAAACAATTTTTGCAAGTTTTGTTTTCCAAATATGAATGAATATTCCATGTGTGTGCAATATTAAAACAATGAATTTCTGAATATGACACTATCAATTATGTGCTGTAGGCATGCATACAAATATTAGGAAACATTTACCTATGGTGATGTATTAACTTATGATTTATTAAAATTTGCCTGACTATTCAGAAAGCAGAGTCAGCCACAAGTTATAGAAGCCAGGCACATACTTTTAATTCCAAAAGCCAGAAGCTAGGAAGTGGTGGTACATACCTTTATTCCTAGGACTCAGGATTAAGAGTTATCAGTCTGTGGGTCATTTATTTATTCATGTTACATATACCAACACAAGAATTCTTGTTCTTATTTCTACTCTGCTTTCTTGTTTAGTTATGTGTGTTTCATCCACTATAATTTTTGAGTGATAGCAATATATCATTACTCATGATCTTTAATACACTTGTGTGCACTTAGCAAAAATTATGCATCATATGTTGCAAATTTTATTTTTGATAAAATTATTTGTTTTGGAGGTCACTATATCTGAAATCTTTAGAAATATACTTCATTTAAAAAGGCCAATTACATAGATTATTTACATGATAAAGGATGCTAGTCAAATATATTATCATCTGCTGTAAGATAAATATGCCTTGCATAAATGGAACATTGTTATACATATATAAAACATAATCATAAACAAAAAGGCTTTAAAGAGTTTGATAAACAGCTTAGTATGATACAGGTTATGATGAACAGATTGTTTTTTTGTATTGCAGGCAGATATTGTCTTTCATATGTCCTATTGGTGAAAACTAGTCCTGTCTCTGGCACAACCTTAAAAATAAACAGTGTTAGCATAGTCTCACAACATGTGGCCATGAGGGAGTCTTCAAAGTCTTGAACAACCCTACAAACATGAATCTTAGTAAAGAAAAATTAGTCGTTTCATAAGAAGAATTTTCTTTCAAGGAACTTATTTATAGCAACTCTGACATCTTTATTCCTCACACTGTAGATCAAAGGGTTCATCATAGGCACAACAATTGTATAAAATACAGAAGACACTTTCCCTTGGTCCATAGAGTTGACTGATGATGGCTGCAGATACATGAATGCAAGGGAACCAAAGAAGACAGCAACAGCTGCTATGTGTGAGCTGCAGGTGCTGAAAGCTTTAGACCTGCCCTCAGTGGATTTAATCTGAAGGATGCTAGCAATGATAAAGATGTAAGAGCTTAGAATAGTCAGAGTTGGAACAAAGATGTTAAAAACACTGAAACACAGAACTACAACTTCATTAATGAAAGTATCAGAACAAGAGAGTTCCAAGAGTGGAAAAAGATCACAGAAATAATGGTTTATTACATCAATCTTACAGAAATGCACTCTTAGCATGCAGACTGTGTGAGTTGTGGCACCAATAAAAGCCATACCATACACTGCAAATGTCATCCAGAAACAGACTTGATAGGACATCATAGCATTGTAAAGCAATGGGTTACAGATGGCAACATAGCGGTCATATGCCATTGCAGCCAACATGTGACACTCTGCAATACCAAACACAAGGAAACAGAAGAGCTGAGTCATACATTCAGGGTAAGAGATGATGTTCTTCTGTGTCACAAAGTTCACCAGCATTTTGGGAGTAATGACAGTGGAATGACAGAGGTCAATGAGGGACAGACTGCTGAGGAGGACATACATGGGTGTGTGCAAGTGAGAACTGAATTGTATTAGGGTGATCATACCCAGATTTCCCACCACTGTGACCACATAGATTCCTAAAAAGAGGACGAAGAGGGGCAGCTGGAACTCTGTTTTTTCTGTTAACCCAGCAAGAATGAATTCAGTCACTCTGGAAAGATTTCCTTGTAACATTTTCTTCTGGGAGTTCTATGTAGAAAGAGATGGAAAAATTGAGATAGGTATCTATAATTTTACCACATACTGAGGTGTGAAACAGAATTTCCAGCTTTCATTTTGTCAGGCATTTTCAATTTTAAGATAGCTACTCTTATATGTTAGCTCTCTAAGACTTTAACCTTTCCAACACACGGCCCTTGTAATTAAATGTAAGGTACATTTGTCAATGTTCGTGACTCCTGCTGTGAAAATGTCAATATTCAGTCCATGGACAGCAAAGGAGATATCTGCTGCATTCAACAGAGTCTGCTAAGGACTTTTCATGACTTATTTGTAGTTCTCCCAATCACTCTACAGGACAAAACCTTTTTTTCTGTTACAATAAGAGCAGCATGCACACAAAGACAAAAGACCACCAGGCACATACAAAACCCATTCTACACTTAATTGTGGTAATCCAAAGGCTTTTTTCATAAGGTAATGGACAGTTTAAGCTGAACACTCTCTTTAACATTATACTAGAAGTTAAAGTTAAGGCACTTGGGTAAGAAAGTCAATAATAAAACTACCTTTACATGTATATAAATTAATTTTGTGTACATAAAATTCCAAGAAATCTATATTAAAGAAGCCCTGCAATTTCTTTTAAATGTCATAATGAAAGTGGGAACCAAGGCCAGACGTTGGTGGCGCACGCCTTTAATCCCAGCACTTGGGAGGCAGAGGCAGGTGGATCTCTGTGAGTTCGAGACCAGCCTGGTCTACAAGAGCTAGTTCCAGGACAGCCTCCAAAGCCACAGAGAAACCCTGTCTCGAAAAACCAAAAAAAATAAAAAATAAAAAAAAATAAAGTGGGAACCAAGATCATTAAGAAAATTCAGCAGTCATAAAAATCCATTTAAAATATCATGAAAATGTTAAATCATTTAGGAATAAAATAAAGACATGTAAGGCATTGCACTTGAAATTATCAACATTGTCAAAGATATAAAAAACATTACGTTCATGAAGAGATATCCCATTTCCATGGATCTTAGGATTTAATATTATGAAATGACAATACTTCTCAAACTAGTCTAAAAGTTCAGTGTAATACTGTTGAAAATCCAACATATTTTTATTACCGACAATGACATGCTAATGATAAGTTCTCCACAAACTATAAATGTCTGGGGATAATCAGAACAAAACTGAAGGAGGAGAATAAAATTGGAAGCATCAAGCTTCCTCAATCAAAAATATACTGCAACCTTATAATATGCTCATAATACTGATATGGCATGAATAAAAAGAAATTGGCAATTTGCAAAAAATTCTTGAAATTATTAAAGTTACATGTTTAATAATTATTCATTATAGGAACAATGGTTTTCCAATAGATGGGCAATTAGATGAAGTTGCATATTAAATATTTAAAATGATTTTCATATTATGAAAAAGTTGATGAAAATGGATGCTATATATAATTATTTTATATAAAAATAACAACATTTGAAAAAACTACAATAAGTAAAAGGCAAAAGATGTATACAATCTGAAGACAAAAAAAATAAAAAAGAAAAGAACCACACTACTAGAATTCATGCCCAGGAAATTGGTGACAATTTCTTGGATAAGATGTCACAATCAAAGGTACAGCAGTAAGTAAATAAATAAACAAATAAATAAATAATTGGACATAATAATACTTTGTGCCTTTAAGGACATCATATATAGAGAGATGAAAAATAGCGCACTGAATGGGGAACACACTTCAAATAATATATCTTAAGGAGCAATACTGAAGAAAAAGGGACTTTTATATCTGTAAGGTTTAGAGAACAAATAATTGAGTCATAAAAAGTCAGATAATTTGAACAATAATCCTTTTAGTGGAGATAGAAAAATCCCCAATACACACCTAAAAAGATGTGTTCCAAGAATAATTATTAAGGACATTTTAATAAAAACCATAGAGAGACAAAATTTCACATTGATTGGAAAGGATAAGATAAAATGGTAGGTGCCTGCAAGGATGGAAGTAATCACAACCTCATATTACTGGTGAGGTTATAAAATGGAACAAAAGTTTCAGAAATCAACTTTCGATTCCTTCAAAATAGAGTTATTGCTAATCCAAGATACATCTATACAAATTAAAACACACTGACACAAACAGTCACACAAAAGTATCTGGAGTAGCATTGCTTAACGTGCAACGCTAGATGGACGATCTCACTGCCCATACTTGTTTTCTTCTAACTCTCCTGCTGGCTACCTCCTACAGAGAAAAATCATTCTCATTATGGCTCAATTCTGACCTTTTCTATAAAAGCTTAAGAATATCAGGAGATTTGTTAACTTGAAAATCAAACTCAGAAGTGATAGTATACTAGTTTCTATGAAGACTGTTTTGTTTGTTTTAGCAAGTCTCCTAGTTTTCTCTTTATTAAAGATAAGGATGACTGCCTAAACATGAGCTGAAAAAGGAAAACAACAAAAAGCATTCTAATATGGATGGAGGAAAGCCATGAGACTTTGACACTATGAAAGAATGACTATGTGAATGCTGAGAGGGGGGAACTTGTTTTCTCCAGAGAAGAACACACCAATTGGTATGGTTGTGTAATTATATTATAAAATATATAATTATAACATAAATTATTAGAAGCATAAAATATATAATTATGAAATACATATTATAATTATAAAATTCAATTATGATATATAAATGTATTATAATTATAAAGATATTATAAAAGTTAGAAATTGATGTGTTATAATCTCAAAAAATGAAAGAAGTAAAAGAAAAAATGATGAGCTCTGATGTTAATATAATTGTCCATGACTTCCAAATTTCAAGTGTTGGATATAATAGCACACCTGAAAGATATAGAACAAAGGAAGCAAACATAGCCAAGAGGAGTAGAAGACAGGAAATAAGCAACATGAAGGCTGAAATTACTAAAAAATGAGAACAATACAAAGAATCAATGAAACAAAGAGTTGGTTCTTTGAGAAAATCAGCAAGATAGACAAACCCTTATCCAAACTAACTAAATGGCAGAGACAGAATATCCAGATCAACAAAATCAGAAACAAAAGGACACAAAACAGAATACACTGAGGAAATCTAGGGTATCATTTGGTCACACTTAAAAAACCTATACTCCAGAAATTTGAAAATTTATTCATCAATAAAAATTGCTGAGGAGTGGGAACTTTGAAATACAACAATAATAAGTCAGTTGATTATTATTGTCATGAAAGTGAGTTCATTCTCTGTTCTAGTTTGCTTTTCTGTTGCTGCAATAAATACTCTGATTAACAGCAATTTTAGAGAGGACAGACTTTATTTCAACTTATATTTCTAGGTCATAATCTAACATTGAGGGAAATAAATGTAGCAAATAAAGCAGTAACTAAAGCAAAAACTATGGAAGAATGCTACATTTTGGCTTGCTTACTGATTAATGTTCAACTAACTTTCTTACATAACCTGGGCCAAACCAATCCCTCTGAATGTGGGTACCAGCTCGGAGGCCAAGGCAGTCCATGAAACCTCTAACAGTGGAGCCAGGGTTTATTCCTAGGTCACAAATGGACTTCGGGAGCCCTTTCCCTATGGAGGGATACTAATGCAGCCTAAATATGGAAAGGAGGGCCTGGGCCCTTGCCCGAATGATGTGACAGACTTTGATGATCCCTTGTGGAGGGTTTCACTATCCCTGGGGAATGGGTAGTGAGTGGGTGGTGGGTGGGTGGGGGTCAGTGGGAAGCAAGGGAGGATGGGAGGGTGAGGGAAGTGGGGGATGGATATATAAATAAGAGTGTTTCTAAAAATGAAAAATAATTCAAAGTTTCCTATCTGTCAGACCCTGCAAAGTTTAAAACAAATAAGTACTTTCTTATTCTAAAAGTGAAGAGCCAGTATATGGGAAGAATTATACTTAAGTAAATTCATACTCCTGCAGTATGAATATAAATCTTCTGGCTCAATTGTAGCACAAATATTATAAACCCAGAGACAGATGTTGAGGTTCAAGCTGAAGATCAGAAAAGCCAAGCAGCCCAGTCACAAGAGAGCTCTTACCTCTACCAAAGCTTGGGAAATCCTGTCCTCAACATGGCTGGAAAGTAATTCCCAAAATACTGAATGCCTGCTCCTATCTTATATACTTCTCTAGTTCTGGGATTAAAGATGTGAGCTCTGTTTCTCTTTTAGGCTGATTCAGCCCTGGGTGGTCTAGAACTCACAGAGATCCATTTGCTTCTTTCTCCTGAGTCCTGGGATGGATTGAAGGTGTGTGCCACCACTGCCCAGTTTCAATGGCTATGGTTAGTTTTGCATTCTGATCTCCAGGAAAGCTTTATTAGATTATGAACAATATATCACTACATTAAGTGTTCAACATCTGTAACTCAAGTTTTGTAGGTCAACAAAAGCTTGGACCACCTCTCTATATTTGCATCCATAGAACACACAGCTTTGAGAGAAGTCAGTACAGTAATTCGAGAAGGAACTAAAAGAGATCACCTATATCAGTTGTTTCAGTATCTTTTTTTTTTAAAAAGGGTACTTATATTAATTATTTCTTTTATTGATTGATATTATAGCATACCCACTTTATTTCCTCCTTCTCATTCCTCCTTCTAAATCCCCCAATATAACACTTATGCTCTCTTTCAAATTGTGGTCTCTTTTTCCAATATATATATATATGTGTGTGTGTGTGTGTGTGTGTGTGTGTGTGTGTGTGTGTGTGTGTGTACACATATATGTTAGCCTCCTTTTTATTAATTTTAGAGATGAATACACTATAAGCAGAATATCTAAATGTAAGAGCAAATATTCCTTAAGTTTTGAATTCATAATACTGTGTGTTAAATATAGATACTATATTATATACAGTATTTTATAGCTCAATTCATCCGTCATTACTGATGATTTATACCCACTGAACAAGTCCACCTTTCCTCTCTCAGATTGTGTTCTCTAGTAATCATTATTATATTATCTATTTCTATGGTTTTGACCATTA